GGAAGAATAAAATAGGAAACTAGAAAGGCCGACATTTGCTTGGGAGCAAATACAGCATATTTCAGTCCATCTCCCTCCCACGCAAGAGTGGACTATTCCAAACTTACCCCAGTGCAAAACTGGAAAAAAAAAAGAGAGTAAAATTGGCAAGGGGAGTCCGGCCGCGGGAAGGTTGTTTCTTTCCCTCCGAACTGCGCGGCCAGTCAAACCTACAAGGCGGCCAAACTCCCCTGTCAAATATTCTCGTATACATTTTTAAATAGTTACTCTGGTAGAGACTACTCTTTCGGTGCAGGAAGAGCATGAAGCCCCGTTTACAAATCGAATGGCACTCAGTCAACACCCCCTCTATGAGTTAGGGACTCTGAGCAGCTGGATATATCACAAAGGATGGCGTTTCATTGCATCCTAAAGCTCTTCTTAAATCCTCCCCAGATTTTCAGGTGACAAGGTGACAGCCAATATACCCTCTGGGCAATTCCAAGTGTTTCTGAGAATAGGGGTGGGGTCTGAGGGCTTGGTCTCTTACATGGCATGGCGTAAATTACGTAACGCACATCGGTAGGATTTTTCTCTGACAGCTCGCTCCGGGTAGCCTCGACCAGGCTTCTACGAAACCGTTGGCACATGGAGAGTAGCCTCTACCAGGCTTCTGAAGCGGCTGGAAGGAGTAGAAATTGGCCAGATAGACATATATAACTAGCCTCTACCAGACTTCGGGAGGCGGCTGGAAAGAGTCGAAATCGGCCAAATAGAGAGATAGCATGCCAAGGGAGTTAGTCTGGGATCTCCCCAGAAATTTAGGACAGAATGGAGGAGGGTGCGAAATATCGGTAAATTTGACCAAAGAACCCTGGAAGAGGATGTAGGAACCAGGCTAGTAGAGGCTACTATTCTCCGTCTTCCATGTGCAACTGGTTTGGAGAATCGTGTTGCAATAGGCAATTTGCAAGACGCGACTAATGCGATCACTAATGAGTGAGAAAACTGGTGGTCTGGATGACATCCAGGATCCAGGGAAACCGGAAAGACCCGGACTTGTCTGGTCTTTTCCAGCTGTAACCGGAATTAACTCACAGATAGAGCCAAGGTACAAAGGGAATTCTAGCCGCCCAAAGAGCAAGGGTAGCCAAGAAAACGAGCGAAACGATTTGTTATCAACAAATGACTCATTTCTGTCCTCACAAGAAGTACGTGACAGTTTTAACCAGAGTATATATCAGTGTTCTCGCCAGGCCTTTTAAGAATAGGGCCCCCGTGCTGTTAATTGGACCCCTTATGCTGTCTTTCAACCAGCATAGGGGTGTTTTTTTTGCGGGGGGGGGGGGCTTCATAAATCTCGCAAAGAAATGAAAATATAACTTAAGAATGCAAAACCTTCACAATCTGCCCCTCATTTTAGCGAGAAATATTAAAATGTCTCAGGGGGTTGAGTTTCAAAATTTTTCGGGAAGAATACCAGACCCCTGCTGTGGCCATGATTTTGGGGACTCAATGAGCGACTTGCGCCGCGAAAGTTGCCCTTCTGTACCTGACCCCTATGCTGTGAAAAATCCGGGTGAGAACCCTGTATGTACTTGATGACAGTTGTTGGTTGGACCATAGCTTGTATGGTAGCCTTGTAACTATACTGTACACACACACACAAAAAAAAACAAGGCTCTACTTGTGCTCTCTTGTTTATCATAATCTCTATTATCTCCGTTTTAAAATTAGCCTGAATGCTAAACCCTGAATTAGCCAAGGCTTAACTAAGGGAGGCTGTGGTATAATTTCATTGTAGGCATGTAGGCCCTGGAGACGGGGAACTGCCCTGAAATTCGTTGTGTAGGCCCTGGAAACAGTCTGGGACCCAGACTAAGAGTAAGACTCTCTGAATTACGACCAACTTGCACGCCAAATGTCTGAGGGCGTCAGAGATCGCCTCGGTCAAGATCTGGAGTCTGTAAGGATCCAGGCCGGTCCCTAAGGAATTAGCCTGGATGCCAGACTGTTTCTCAGGGCTGACTCAGGGGGAGGTCTGGAGTGGTAAAATTAAAATTTCCTTGAGCGCATGTTGGGCTATAGAGGCGAGGAGTTAGCCTCTACCAGGCTTCGGGAGGCGGGTGGAAAGAGTAGAAATTTGCCAAATATAGAGATAACACGCCAAGGGAGTTGGTCCGCTGGAGAGTATATTTTGCCGCACCAGGGTACTGTACACTCCAGCGGACCAAATACCTCGGCATGCTATCTCTCGATTTGGCCAATTTCTACTCTTTCCAGCCGTATCCCGAAGCCTGGTAGAGTCTACCGAGGAGTTAGGTCGGTAGCCTGGATGCCAGACCCATAGCATACTATAGCCTCTACCAGGCTTCAGGAAGCGGCTGGAAAGAGTAGAAATTAGAGAGTACATTCAGGTGCGGCAAAATGTACTCTCTAGCGGACCAACTCCCTCGGCATGTTTTTCTGTATTTGACCGATTTCTACTTTTTCCAGCTGCCTCCCGAAGCCTGGTAGAGGCTACGCATACTGGTCCAAAGTTAGCCAGCGTGTATCTGAGGAAGGCTGTGGTATATTAGTAATTCCCTTGGGGGTATATTAGCTCTGAAGCCGAGGAGTCAGCCTGTGTAGGCCCTGGAAACAGTCTGGCATCCAGGCCAAGGAGCTGGCCTTTGTCGCTCTTCGAAACAGGCTGTCATCTAGGCTAGCCATTTGCAGCGAAGACAAGTTAGTTGGAGAGCATACGGCTGAATTTGAGGCTAGAAAACTCGTTTATGTGCGGGACAGTCTCTTACGAAAACCCAAGTTGTCAACTTCAATCTTGAGCTACAGGTACACCCTGACCCTACCAGGCCGGCGTAACCTCCCCCTCGTTTGAGTAAACCCGTTTTCGTTTTCCCGTAGCTTTGAAGTAGTATTTCAGCGGTAGTATTTCAGCGGTAGGCCGGCCCTGTCATTCCCTACAACCTCCAACCGCGTTGCTCAAGGCCCCTCGCTGTTCGACAATTTGACCAAATATTTTCGATCGCAGCGTTGCCACCCAGTATTGCCGCGTCATCCGAAATTTTAATAGATCACATAATTATGACAGGATGGACGCACAGAGTAATTTGGCCTGTTTCACCCAAATTGATTTGAGATAGCCTGGGTGCCAGACCCACAGCACACTAGGCTGAAAGTTATCCAGTGTGCCAGGGCACTTGATACTTTGGATCTAGTGTGCTATCTGGCATCCAGGCTATATTTGAGGTCGCGGCAGTATTACAGTAAGTTAAAACTGGATATTCAAAGTCAATTTTCTGGTCATGTTTGCGATGTCGCTGACGGAAAACGGTTGCTTGTTTCGCATCTTAGGCTGGTTCTAGCTATTTATTGGTGGTACCCAAAAATAAAGGAATTTCTCACAAAGCTTGTTTTGGCGCGAAAATGTGCTAAGAAATGGCACTTAATGTCAACATCAGACAGATTTCCTCATCACATTCCAGAATATATTTTTGCCGCCCTGGAATTGCTCTAGATTCTAAAAGATACCACCGGAGTCCATCAAATAGAAAGACAAGGTCACCTGGTATTAGTCTACGAAGCAAATCAACGAAATGCAAAACAGAGGACTTGGCAAATTGCAAAATAGAGCGAGGTCACTCAAGAAAAAACACCGACGATAAAAAAACATGCGGAATTACAAAACGACTGTCCAAGGAAGGACAACGCTAAATCTGTATCCTTTCCCACGGATCTTTAGCTATAATATTACCGTGCTTTTGAGACATCGCAAGTTTTCACAATTTCCCGCTCAAATTAGGTGCGAAGTATGCGAGGCGGTCCATTTTGTTGTGACCTTTGTCATGTTTGTTTTGTCAACTCAATCGGTAGTGTTTTGATACCAAAGGTTCTCTAGTTACCTTTGACAGATCTGTGTTTAATTTACAGTTTTGTAAAAAAAAAATGTGTTTGAAGTGATGGAACTAACATGAAGTCTAGACGGTCAAATAATTGTAGTAGCGCTGAGTATCATTCTGGTTATAGTTTTCACACATGGGCATAACTGTCGGTACTACAACAATGTCTAGTAGTCGCTATCTAATCAGGTTGGAGCCCGGCTTGCATCACAAGCTACTTTAGCTATAATGAACTACAGACACAAATAACTCTGAGGCTTCTCCCCCGCTGGGGGATAAAGCATCAATTCTCAGGGAGGATGGATGGCACCTAGCCTCTACCAGGCTTCGGGAGGCGGCTGGAAAGAGTAGAAATCGGTCAAATGGAGAGATAACATGCTGAAGAAGTTGGTCCGCTGGAGAGTACACCCTGGTGCGGCAAACTGTATTCTCTAGCGGGCCAGCTCCCTCGGCATGTTATGTATATTCTATTTGACCGATTTCTACTCTTTCCAGCCGCCTCTCGAAGAGTGGTAGAGGCCAGATGGCACCATTTTATGAAATCAAATTAGGTTTATCCCGCCAAAAAGTTACGATTCCTGTACAGCCGTTAACGATAGCGAAAGTACTAAAATGACAGAAGAACTACATGAAAAGTATCCTAGACGACTTATAATTAGAATTAATTTTTTGTTCACGTTTCCCGTATAGAGGAGAACAAAGACACGTTATATCAGGCAATTTCAACCTAAAACTTTTACAATCTTTTGAGTCTGCACAAGATGATTCAATTTAAATCTTTTTCAAGTTTTTTTTTTCATTCTGTGTCATAGAATCTAACTAGATTGACGATAACAATGATTTTCTTTGTAGAAACAGAGCAGAGAACTCCCATAATTTACTCGACCGTTTTTGGAGATCGCTCGTATAAACAACGCACCCCACTGCCAAATCTTGCCATTTTTTGGCACCGAAAACCGTTTTTGCAGGAAATCCTTTCAGTCCTTGTTACACGTAACCTTGTCAACTTAACAAACTCACATGTGACGACGACAAAACACCGCAAATTCGATCAAACCGCAGAACACTTCCTTCTTGCCACGAAGATAGAAAATAATTCAAGAAAAACTTTTCAAACCTTACCTGACTTGCAGAAATCAACATCAAGGCGACCAAAATCGTCTGAAGTGTAGCGGCGGCCATCTTGCTCTCGTTCCCAGGTTCAAATTCCTCGGAACGAATCTTTTCTCCAAGTTTTTGCCGTTCGGCAGTCGCTTGTGCGGAAAGTTCGAGGAGCGCCTTCTTTTGCCGAAGGTTGGAGGGAAAGTGGCCGGTCTGGAAGCGGGGCTAGCACCGCGAGAGCGCCCAACTGTCTCCCCAAATCCCCACGGGAGGGTCAAGATCACACGGCGACCAATCGAAGCCCTTGTCTGACCGCCGGTTGGACCGCTAATTCGAACCAGAAGTTTCCGCGGCGCCCCTCAATGGATCATTAACGAATTACTGAAGAATTCGGCCTCTTCAGATTCCTAAATTGATGAGGATGGCGAAACCATTTGGGCAGAAATCTTGCCCCCGAGTGAGAGAATAAATCATAACAACGCACGAAGTTTTGAAAGACGTAAATCATATTGAGGCACTCTTTTTCAGTTGAAAACTTAAAGGTTGATATGTTACAGATCTTATGAAAGATATCAATATATCACAGCAATTTTAGATGCTTTATTAGTTTGCTAGAAATCGAAACACACAGAGATATTGCCAAGGTTATTCACCTGTGATAATACAGTACAAGGCATTGGACAATCCGGAACGTATTAGACACATAGTAAGGTGGGAGGGGTTCAAGGTTAAATGTGGTGTGACTGGTGACATACTGGATCATGATGTCACAACGTGGCGTCTGGATAGTGTTTTTTCTAGGGGATTCAGGAAATGGGAAAGACATGTTGACCGAGTTTTAATTTCTAGAATAATCAATGACCAGCCTGGCTTTTCCAGGTGTGCTCGTATCGGATGTAAATTTAGACATGAACCGGAGAGACGTCTAGCACGTCATCAGAACGTACTGCGCATGCACGAGACCCGGATTTTTATGCACGGTTTTCGTTGTATGTTTGGTCAACGTTGCATCAAAATTTTGCCCGTTGCAGACGATATCTTTTCCTCTTTAATATTTCAAAACTATACACGGAATGCCATTCTGAACGTACAAACAAACAAACAAACAAATGAGACGTTCTGCCGAAGTGCAATGCATGACGGATTCCGCGCATGCGCAGTACGTTCTACCGACGTGCTATGAAATCTAGACATCATGATGACGTCATGGAAAAGTACAGCACTGTCCGTCCTTGCACAAGGTAACTACAAGCATCTGTCTGACCGTGCCGAAAGGTCCTACTGTTCCTAATTTCTCCGTTTAGCGATTGTGATTAAAACGTAGGGTGACGATTACACAATATCGAATCAGGCACCAGTGGCCTAGGAAAAATTCAATGTGCTGGGAAAAGTTCCAAAACATCCCAGATTACGTTATCTTGGGCAGAATCTCTTACTTAGCTCAGACAACATGTGCTGGGGGGCGACATCTACGATTCCGGTATTGGCGAAGTTGCCAAGAACTGATTGCATTAAAGCGATTGGCTCTGACTTCTGCCAATATAAGGTTGGATTATACAGTGGTCCTCTAGAGTATGTGGAAGTTCTGCTAGGTCAGGTTCATTCTAACCATCTGAATTCAATAAATGACAAAATGTGGAACTCAGGGTGTGCCGTGACCCGACATAAGGACAGTGCCATGACTTGTCGACGGGTAGGACCCTAGAGGAATGCCATTCCATGACTCCAGTAAACTTTTAAGGCCAGTCAAGTCCTTGGTATCATCCTATCTGTTCCTAGTCTGGACGCCGCAAGACTGTCCAGGGCTCACTAATCCACCACCCCCACCCTCTAAGTTTTTCGGTATTGGTGAAGTTGCCAAGAGCTGATTGCATTAAAGCGATTGGCTCTGACTTCTGCCAATATAAGGTTGGATTATACAGTGGTCCTGTACAGTAAGAGGAAATTCTGCTAGGTCAGGTTCAGACTAGCCATCTGAATTCAATAAATGACAAACTGTAGAACTCAGGGCGTGTCGTGACCCTATATGAGGACAGTGCCATGACTTGTCGACGGGTAGGACCCTAGAGGAATGCCATTCCATGACTCCAGTAAACTTTTAAGGCCAGTCAAGTCCTTGGTGTCATGACATCCTATGATTAGTATCTGTTCAACCCAGTTCCTAGTCTGGACGCAAGACTGTCCAAGGCTCACTAGTTCCCCACCCCCGCCCTCTGAGTTTTTCGGTATTGGTGAAGTTGCCAAGAACTGATTGCATTAAAGCGATCGGCCCTGACTTTTGTCAATGCCAATGTAAGGTTGGATTATACAGTATGTGGAAGTTCTACTAGGTCAGGTTCAGAGTTCAGACGAACCATCTGAATTCAATAAATGACAAAATGTGGAACTCGGGGTGTGTCGTGACCCTACATGAGGACAGTGCCATGACTTGTCGACGGTATACCGTACTAGATAACCCTAGAGGAATGCCATTCCATGACTCCAGTAAACTTTTAAGGCCAGTCAAGTCCTTGGTGGGAGCCTGCATGCCCTTTTCCGTAAGGCGTAATCAGGCCTTTTTAGTCTTCGTAATCCGTAGGCAGCCTCCCCCACCCCAACGTAATTCGTAATAAAACATTAACTGCAAAGCGTAAAAAGTCGTAATCAGCTCTGAGACTTAAACGTAATTCGTAATTGGCGGCGAAAATTTTGCGTAATTCGTAATCACTACTCCCCATGTAGGCCCTCCTTGGTGTCATCCTAATGTTAGCCCTGAAAAAGGCGAATGTTAGCCCTGAAAAAGGCGGATGGCACCCAGGCTAGTCTTGGGATCGGGAGAACGTCGCTACCCCTAACTGGACCACAGAACCTGAAAGCTCAATCCAATGTTAGCCCATAGTGCACAAAATAAATCTCGGAGGAATGCCTGTCTTTGGACGTGCGTGTTTCCAGAGTGGCGACACTCAGGCACACTGCCAGGACTGCTATAGCCGGATCCTTAGTAGCAGTCTATTTTCTGTAGTCAGTCGCAGGGAAGATGCAAGTGTGTCTCAAGTTATGCCATTTACTTTTCCAAGTTCATACTGCTACTTCGATACACGGGTTCTTGTTGGGTCTGTTACATGCAGTGAAGCTCGCCCTGTAGCCTGGTGTATTTTGCTTATCAACTTCCGTCGTGCAAACTCCTACTGGGGAGCTGTGCGGCAGAAATCTGCTACATAGCTTCTACCAGGCTTCGGGAGACGGCTTGAAAGAGTAGAAATCGGTCAAATAGAGAGATAACAGCATAACATGTCGAGGGAGTTGGTCCGCTAGACAGTACATTTGCGGCAAAATGTATTCGACCGATTTCTACTCTTTCAAGCCGCCTCCCGAAGCCTGGTAGAGGTAGACTGGACACAGTCCTGTACCTCTCCTGTGTATTATAATATATTATAAGGTAAAACAGAGACGTTTGCTGTGATAGGTCAGGTACTCCTGTGTATTATAAAACAGAGACGTTTGCTGTGATAGGTCAGGTACTCCTGTATAAAACAGAGACGTTTGCTGTGATAGGTCAGGTACTCCTGTATAAAACAGAGACGTTTGCTGTGATAGGTCAGGTACTCCTGTATAAAACAGAGACGTTTGCTGTGATAGGTCAGGTACTCATGTTTATAAAACAGAGACGTTTGCTGTGATAGGTCAGGTATCCCTTTATAAAACAGAGACGTTTGCTGTGATAGGCCAGGTACTCCTGGGTAAAACAGAGACGTTTGCTGTGATAGGCCATGCTGACCTGGTGACAGGACCTACACGGGACACGGGTCGGTCCGGAGACCCCCTGGCCTGGTCGGGTCAGAAGGTCGCGGTACAGCTAATTGTAACAGTGGCTACTACACAAACAGGCTTCATCAGTAAACAGTGATGCTACCGGAAGCCCATCTGGTGATTTTTTGGGTGTACCGTAAGGTGGTAGGGTGTAGTCAAGCAATTTCGAACAGATGCAGGGCTCTGTCTTGTTTTCCACGACTTTTTTCTGCGTGTGTGCTTTGTGGTGCGAATAGAGGAAGGAGGGCCTGCATGCCCTTTTCCGTAAGGCGTATTAAATCAGGCCTTTTTAGTCTTTGTAATCAGTACATGTGTACTGCACAGCTGTAACGTGTAACTAGTCGTAATCAGCTCCGAGAATTTTGCGTAATTCGTAATCACTACCCCTCCCCATGCAGACCCTCAAAAAAGACGTTCCATGTAAGGAAAGCATGTCGGAACCATGCATCTGCTTGGGGGCCGGGTAGAGATGTTTTGGATTGTGACCTCTGTCTCAGTAGGGGTCAATCAAAAACTTCAATATTTCAAGCAGGCCTGTATTACGTAGAGAGAACCGCAAATTGGTGGATTCTACATATATGTTCTTGCGTTTTCAATGGACGCCTGAACTTAGCAGAGCCCCCATTCAAGAATTTCTGTGTAGAGGAAGGTAGCCTGGGTGCCAGACTGTTTCCAGGGTCGACACAGACCAGTTCCTCTAGCCTCTACCAGGCACCGCGGATCGCTGGGAAAATAGTAGAAATTGGCCGAAATAAAGGGATAGTATACCAGAGAAGATCCAGGGCCATAGAAGCTCCAATTTGCGACCCACTGGTATACTATCCCTTTATTTCGGCCAATTTCTACTATTTTTCCAGCGATCCGCGGTGCCTGGTAGAGGCTTCAGTTCCTCAGCTCTAGGGCCAACATGCCCCCAAGGAAATTATACCACAGCCCCCCTCAGCGTGCTCTGGCATCCAGGCTAGAGAGACTGCAACACCGAACATGTATAAAGGCCACAGCAACTAATTTGTATGGATGACATCAGCGCGCGCATTAATTTTGAAAAAAAAGGAGAAATTTTATTGCCCTCTGACAGTGGTCAACATGCGGAAAATGGACAAAGATGTCTGTTGCCATGCCGGAAGGTGGATGGCAGATAACTTCATAGTTATCTTCATACTTCAGAGAGACTGAATGTTTTGTTTTTTACTTTGAAGCAGTGATATGTGATGCTGGCTGGGTATATGTGATGTTCCCACTGAATTAAAACCATTTGTACAATGACTGAGACAAAATTTTAAAATGTGGGAACCTTGTTTTTTTTCGGTCCGCCTTTTTTTCGCCCGCTCGCATTTGATTTGGAGTCTGTGGAGGATGTCATCCATAAAATTTACTTGCTGTGGCCAAAGCCTTCCACGTGTATACTGATAGCAGCATGGGACTTCCTCTATTTCGGACTTTGATTGGATGTAATTAACGTACGCGTAAACAAAACCAGATGCGGCCCTGTCACAACTGATATGACTGGTAGCACTGTGCCTTGTAGTTTCGTCTTTGTCCATCCAATGCGATTTCATGGCAGCAAAAAATGGAAATATTCTGAATAAGGCAATCTTTGTCATATGCTTCACATGATCAGTATTTCATACTTTAGGCATTTAAAACTGTAGAAACAAGCCCCCAAAATGAGTCCTTTATGTTCTGGGAGGTTCCCCCAAAATCAGCCAAGGGCCCTTCCAGTAACCATTTTCCGTCAGAATTTTGGGACTTTTTGCTCCATGATGGTCTATATACATCGGGACAGTGTGTTTTCAACTCAGTATGTTGGATGAACAACTAGTTATATATAGAGCATTGACTTTGAAAAATCGGGTTTCCAAGCCCTAAAACTGCACTGGATGCCTTTAACATGTTCTGAAGCATAAAACCATAGCCTGGTTACCAAACCTATTATAGCTCCCGAGTCCTACATCCTCTCAGCAAATAGAGGATGTAGGACTCGGGAGCTATAATAGGTTTGGTAACCAGGCTATAAAACCAAAGCATATACTTAGATTTCATTCTATATGGCTATTTACTCGGTCTATGAAGATGATCTCTTGTTTTGCGTCAGATTGTTCTGGATTTTTCCAATTCCTTGCCACGCCCAGCCCGTATGGTCCCGTATGTACATGATTTGTGGGAGCTTGATTGGCGCAGTGATATAACAACAAACACACGTGTGATATACCACAGCGCGAAGGGACCCTACCGCATCACAAACCAGAAACAGGTGCGGAGGGATATTTCTCGGATTATGGGTCATTCCATTCGAAAAAGGGGGAGTCCCTGGCAGTGATTCGTCTGTTTGGCCGATTTCTACTCTTCCAGTCGCTTCCCGAAGCCTGCTAGAGGCTACCATATGATTATGAGTGAAGCATTGTGTTTTTCAAGTAGCTATTAAAAAACATTTTTTTCTCATTGTTTTTTCAAGTAGCGTGTGCTAGTTCGTGCGCTGTGGCCCTCGTATTTAGGCACGCACATTTAGTCACCCTATTCTTCTTCGGGTAAGTGTGTTGGGTTCTTTAACGTTACGTATACGTGAAGGTGTTTGGCACATGAGGTTAAATGATCATAGCTCACTCGGGGCCGTCGGCTTGGCATCACCATCTGGTCTTTTCTGAGAAAAAAAAAGACAGAAAAGATACCACCCTGTCGACAGATGGGCTATGACACACAACAGTGCTGCAACTAATGATCCATTATGAAAAGTACAACTAAATGACGGTAACTATTGCCATAAAACTGTCAATGCCGCTGTATTTCTTTTACAACCTTGCGTCTTTATTTGGAGTGTCAACTCTCAAGACATTACCATTACGTACCTGCCTAAATGCCTAGGCCAGAACTGGCCCCTTGCTCCTCTTGATTTTTTTCCGCCAGACAGCACGGTCCTTAGCCTTTTGTTCAGCAAACTTGAGGGACCATCCAGTGTCATATACTATCTGGTCCCGCCATCTTTTGGGGGGTCTTTCTCTAGGCCTAGGGTTTAAGAAATCCTAGTGGTAGGTCCCATATATATATAAGAGTTCTCAAGATATTGTCATCATAAAATTGAGCATGTAAGCTGTGCACGTCCCGGACCCATTTGTGCTAACAGCGACCCCTGTCGTATAAGCAGTGAACTGCATCATCACGTTATCGAAGTGGCTTCTTGACTCGTACACCAACAATTACTATCAAACGCTATCCAGTTTTCACACACAATAAGTACACTACATTTGCCCTTGTTTTGTAAGCAAGAAAACTGATTGTTCTTGAGAATCTTCTAGAAAGGTAACCAGGTCATCGTGGTCTCATAATTACTCATATCCTCCATTTCTAAGAAGCTAGTATTAGGCAGTTGACGGACACGTAGTTATACTAAGTGATTTATATAATTGGGGTGGATAACCTCGCCTAACCTCATGTAACCTTCTGACATTATAGTAAATGTTACGAGTTTTGTAGTAAAAAGTGTCAAGGACAGACCCCAGCACAAAACATATTACACCTCAATAATTACAAAATATGACTGATATGGAAAACAATTTTTGTGGGTATAAGAACGCATATAGAGTCCATTCTATGTCACCGCATGGGTGTTTGTTGCCATGGTTTAGACTTAATTCCAATCTTTTATCAAATAGTTTTAATGGATATCTTATGTTCTACAAACATTTCGACCTTGAATACATTTTTGTGTTGTGCAATCTCGCCATATTTCACGGTGTTCTTATGGAATCATATCTAGTTTCACTGAGGTTTAAAAATAAATAAGCACCAGTTGAAGACTTAACAAAGAAGGGGTTAAAACTAGGGCAGCGATTTCCATAGACAAACAGTTTTAGCATACGACTTGTAAACGAATTAGGCAACACTTGGAGAAAGAAAGGGTTTTCTAGGCCATTCTATAATGAATACGTGTCCTTTAGTTAGTTGCCACGCTCGCGAACGTTCTCGATTTCCATAAACAAATAGTTTCCAGAGTTAACGTATGACTTGTAAACAGGACGACATTAGGAGAGAAAGGGGCTTTCTACTGCATTCGAGGCCTTTCCATAATGAAGACTTGTCCGGCGAGTTCTTCTCTGTCGCTCCGGGCGATGTCAGCCTGAGACACACATTTTTAAAATGACATAAACAAAGGGGGTGTCACGCTGTATGGACGACCTGGGCAATCTACGGTGACAGGGACGGTCGGCACACCTGTCGGAACATCACCAAGGGCTATTTTAGACCCACCTGAAGGAAGGAATGGGACTAATCGCCCTACACGGTTGGGAGCGATTGTCAGAAAGGTCGCGCTGTCATTATTATTCGGCTTTTGTCCCAGATTTTCGTGGCTCTTTTCTGTGACGCTAACGCGGCGAGGAGACCCCGACGGCGCCATCTTTTGTGTTCGGCGCGTGACGTCACAGCGCGAACGGCTTTGTGGGACGGCATTTTTGGAGCAGGGGGCACCCGCACGGCGACTGGGTCTGCAACGGCGGGGCGACAACACAACAGGCGGCTAGCGACGTGAGAGCGCGCTCCTAGCCACACGTCTACGCCCTCATCCAACCAGGTCTCACCTTACCAGGTACGTGCACAAAATTCACCTTACTTAAACCCTTTCAAAAAGTTCTAACGCTTGTCATTTGTTGCTCCTTGACTTTTAGTCTCTTAAGTACTATTGTTACGAACTGATCAAGTCGTCAATGGACTACACTTTGGACTTTGGTCTTCGTAAAATCGCAGTACAATCACTCATTGCTTGTAGAGGACCCTTGCTAACGTTAGCGTGCCTCCAGCCAAATATCCAGTATTTGAAACCACTGCCTTTTGTTGGAAGGCAAATCTTATTAAGGTATCAGTCCAGGTGTTGGCTGTGTAGGGTTGGCCTTGGGTGCCATGTTGCACAAAACGATGTGTGAGAAATCTCCCACGTAATACTGGTGAGACACAGGTAAACACATTAAGCTAATTTACCAAGCGAAGGCTAGGCTGCGAGTACAGGTTACCCCAAGGTCTATACGGCGCTGCCCTGGCTACAAATTACGTTAAATCTTTTCAAGGGTCTGTGGTAAGCTCCTATGGTGTAACGATATGCACAACCGCAAACTTAGAAGTTCATAAAAACTCTGTTGACTGAACTGGAGGTACCAACGCGATTCTTGTAGATACGGGCTCCACCATTGGACAGAGGTGGGCGGTTTTGAGTAGACGGGCTCACACAATACGCCAGATTGTACTCCTGACCTTTGCAAAGCCGCAAACAACCTCTTCCATTCTCCGAACTGGAATATCATACACAGGCAGAGGGGTTGTTGAATGCACGCTTTTGTGGCACTTGTCTACTGGCTTTGCTCATGTTATTTTGTCATTGTCGTTTTCGGTACGTCAAAAATTAATCATTTGTGGAGGTCAACGGCTATAAGTTGGTGAGTTGACAAAGCAGATAGCAGAATCTGGTGAACTGGGATAGAAACACGGAGACTACGGTGTTTTATGTACTATCTACAGTGTCTATATAGCCTATAGCCTACGATATATTTTTATTTGAGTTCATTTTATTTCGTTGAGTTTGTTGTATTGCATTTCTCTGCGTAGAAACCATTGTTATAGTAGCAACAATCCTCTCTTTGTGTGGTGTTGTTGTCATAAAGCAAAAGGATCCTCCTCATTTCGACAGAGAACACTAAAACTGTATCTCCCCTCACGAACACAAAATATTATCATTGCCCTAAAGCGATTCTTTGTACGGTGGAAAACAAGTCATTAAAGATCACGCAGTGTTGTCAAATCTATCTGCATTTCTCTCTATATAAAGCCCAACTGTGACTTACCATGTAGCTTTGGTGTAGCGAATTGATTTATGCTACAATAAGTCGGCTTTGAGGGCGAGCCTCTATTGGGATGGCGATTCTGTGAGCCTTCCTTTCCTTTTTCTAATTGGCTCGCTTTGTGGTAGGTAGTCTCGCCTGTGTGCAGGCTTAATTGTCGCCAGGGAGATGGTGTTAAATCGTGCTGAAGAAGACAACATAACCTACGTAAGGCGGGTCAACTTTGCCTCACCTCCACGACCACAGCCGTCACCGCGTCAAGGTGTTTGCAACCTTGCACTGGGTGACGCAATCACGAAACTTCCAGAAATTTATGCTGTACATACGGTGAAGTACTACAAACAACGCCAACATGTTGTAACTCAAATGTTTTCGTAAAGTTTACAACCTGTTATAACTTAAAAGCCCATTTGACACCACTTATCCGCTACCTGGTAGTCAAAACGCTACAAAGATTGCGGTAGAACTGTTTAAACAGTGTATTACGTGTTTAAGTAAGTGGCGAATAGTGCTGTAAACCGGTGGGAACAAAACGTGCCAGAAAATCACGTTTGAGAACAATTAAATGGCTAAGTAAGACGGCGAACGGGCTATTCGACATTTTTATGAAGATTTACGGTAGGCTAGAAAGCAACTATTCGAATCGTTTGGAAGGAAACTTTTGTATCTAGTGTGAAGTTGACCACCCAGAGTAGAGTGACGTATCCTACGTCTGATTATAGAAACATTCACTCAGATATCCATATGCCGAGAATGTAAATTATAATGCTGGATAAAACTGCCCCTGGGCCCTGACTTTTGTATCTAGTGTTTTCAGTGACTGTAAATATGGCCACCCAGAGTAGAGGGACATATATATCCTAACATTCGATCCTAAACCATATGCCGAAAACGTAAATTGTGGTAGTAAAACTGTCCCATGCCCTACTGTCACTTAACACAAAGACTTGTGCAAATGGCAACGACAATGGCGTTTTAATTTTCTAAGGTATCACTCGCACCAAAACTTTGGAAACATTTCTGTGCATGACATTCAGACCCCTAAAACCGTACAGCTTATACTCGTACACCTTGAAATGATCTGTATTGGAATGTATTATATAATGTCCAAGCAGATCTTTCGGTGGCTGCAAAGACAGCATCAAATTGGTCAGACAGTTGCCATTTTCCAGGCAGTTATCAAGTAAAAAATAAGACCAATACAAAAGATAAATCCCGATAAAACGCCTAAAAACACGTAAAAAATAAGCCCAAATCCCTGCTTGGAGAGTAAGGATTATAACAAATCCTCTGTGGTCTGCACAGGTAAAAGAAAATCCGTTTACAATCAACCTCCCCACATTTTTGCCAATTCCCAATGGACAGTATACTAGTGCGTTGTCTTATAGGAGCTGTCATTTTGATTATTTGATGGCTGGTTCGCCATAGATTATTGCACTACTGTCTACCTCCAGTTGTATAAACTTTAGAGTTTTGCCACCTGGAAAGTTCTTACGCCAAAAGTTCACATATCCTTAACCATTGTCCTCCCCACATTTTCTTCCAATTCCCAATGGACACCAAACCAGTACGTTGTCTTATATAGGAGCTGTCATGTTGATTACTTGATGGCTGGTTCGGTGTTATCCAATGCCTGAAGCGTTAACAACTCAGCTGTATTGATCTATATACAGATTGCTCTTTTGTGACCCTCATTGTCATTTGCTCATATCATGGGCGTGACAAAACTGTTCCTAGGATTTTCCCACAACAACAACCCATTTAGGGGAGGCAAACGTTTATATGAAGTTCCCCTGATCATATGAAACAGAACAGAAGATAAGTCGATGAAGGTTAGACATCCAGGTAATACGATACGCCAAAAAGCAGTTACTCAAGCAACTGGATATAATTTTAGAAACGGTCAGACGTTTTAGCTAGTATCCACTAGCTTTCGTCAGTGACTGAGAGACCAGAGGAGAAATGCAGGTTTATAAGCACAAACTATTGATTGATATGCGAATAAAGTGAAGACAAGAAAAGAAAGTACAGAAGATAGCTTGTAGATAGCTTTGTCTGTCGTTTCCATATATTTGCAGAATTATGGAAAAATTTGAAGACTTGATTGTCATCACTAATAAAAGTTACGACGTAAATGGAGGTTAGACATTTAAGTAATGATATACACAAGAAAATGCTTAATCAACCAATTGAAAACTGTCAATTTTCAAAATATACCCAGTTGCTTGAGATTTTCTTGAGAAAGTTACGACAAAAACAGAAATTGACACTGATTGTCAAAATCTCACAATGTTAAAGTCTGTAGATTTTCACTGAAATTCTTACTAGTTCTACATATCGGTTGTACATGTTCGCCATATATAGATAATTGCACTACTGTCTACCTTCTGTTAATTCGAACCTCAGAAGTTTCGCCATCTGGAAAGTTCTTAGGCCCAAAGTTCACATGTCTGCAGAGTCGGCAGGTGGGTCCGTCGACCCGTGATGCACTGTTAAAGAGACTGCTTCTACCAGGTGTGACTTGAATATTAATATGATAGGAAAATCTTGTCTTGCATCATCTAACTCCACTTGAAGTTTTACTTTGATCTTGGCTATTCAACTGGTGTATGTGACGTGGGACTCGTATGTTAAGTTTTTCACATGACATCAGAATGGCGTTACAAGGCAGTGCATGGTAGAATAATAGAGTAGTAGCAGTGGCAGTAATAGTAGTAGTAGTAGTGGTGGTGGTGGTAGTAGTAGTAGTAGTAGTAGTAGTAGTAGTGGCAGTGGCAGTAATAGTAGTAGTAGTGGTAGTAGTAGTAGTAGTAGTAGTAGTAGTAGTAGAAGTAGCAGTAGTTGTAGTTGTACACGTAGTAGTAGTAGTAGTAGTAGTAGCAGCAGTAGTAGTAGTGTTCATAGTAGTAGTAGTAGTAGTATTAGTAATAGTAATAGTGGCAGTAGTAGTAGTGGCAGTAGAAGTAGTAGTAGCAGCAGTAGTAGTAGCAGAAGTAGTAGTAGTAGTAGCAGTAGTAGTAGTAGTAGCAGAAGTAGTAGTAGCAGAAGTAGTAGTAGTAGTAGCAGTAGTAGTAGTAGTAGCAGAAGTAGTAGTAGTAGTAGGATTCAGTTACTAACTAGGCTAACGTTACTGTCAGCACTTAAGATTTGCAAGATCACAAAAACGACCGTTTAGGTGGCAGAACTAAAACAACCAATAGAAAGATGTTTGTGTAGAGCCCATTGCCCAGTGTCTAGAGTATCCTGGTGACAATGTTATGACGACATTTCTTCTTATTTACACACGACTGTTTTAAAACCCAAAGATCGCTGACCATGCTGGTGGGACGTTTTCACAAAACAAATGAGTAATGCCAACCAGCAAGGGTTAACATGCCGGCTCCTGGGGGCTTCCAGGTGTTTCAAAGGAGCCCGGATGGATTTTTCACTTCATTGCTGTCATTGCTGACTCATCTATTTTGGTCTTAAAGACACCCTGAGCGATTTTAGGGCTGGATTTTGAAAGTCGGTTTTCTGGTCATATTTTTTTTAATGTAGTAGGTTGAATTAACCATATCCCGTAGCATACTGATATCTGTGAAGGAAAAATGTGTTGTCACTGTAGAAAACGGTTGCTTGTTTTGTATCGTAGGCTGGTTCCAGCTATTTATTGCTGGTATCAAGAAATAAAGGGCTTCCTCACGTAGCTTGTTTGGTGGCTATTTCAAAAACTTAAAGTATGAAATGTGCTAAGAAATGTCAGTAAATGTCAATATCA